AAAAATTGAGAGTTTAAAAGATCAAAAGAACGAGAAATCGACAAACAAAAAGTTAAAAGTTGAAAAATTGGAAAAGCGAAAAAATCAAAAAACGAAAAAATGGAAAACTGGAAAAACTGAAGAACCGAAATAGGCCAAAATAAAAAATTGAAAAAGTGATAAATCGAAAACCTGAACAATCAAATCTCGATAAATCGGGAATGAAAATTTAACAAATCGAAAAATTGAAAAACAGAACATCTAAAACCAGGAAGTCGAAAAATCGAAAGATTAAGAAATATTGAAAAATTAAAATATCAAAAGATTGAAAAATCTAAAATTTAAAAATCCAAAAATTGAAAAATCGGAAAAGTAAAAAGGTAGACACATCGAAAAATCCAGAAGTCAAAAATAGAAAAGTCAAAGAACTGAAATATTGAAAAATCGTAAAAGCTGAAAAATTGAAAAATTGAAAAATCAAAAAATTAAAGAATTGAAGAACAGGAAAATCGAAACACTCGAAGATCAAGAAATGCGAAAATCAAATAATCGATTAATTGAAAAATCGAAAAATTGAGAGTTTATAAAAGTCAAATTTGAATAATAAAAAAATCCAAAATTTGACAAAATAAAAATCGCAAAACAGAAAATCTAAAACCGGGAAGTCGAAGAAAGAAAAGACTAAGAAAAACTGAAAAATGAAAGAAAAACAAAAAATGGGAAACTAAATTGTGAAATCAAAACATTGAAAAGTCGAAAAATTTAAAACGACAATTGAAAACAGAAAATCTAAAACCAGGAAGTCGAAAAATCGAAAGATTAAGCAATCGAAAAAGTAAAAAAATCGACACATCGAAAACTCCAGAAGCGAAAAGTCGAAGAATCGAAATGTTGAAAAATGGAAAACCTGAAAAATCCAAAAACTGAGAATCTAAAAAGTCGAAAAATTGAGCAATCGAAAAATCCAAAAAGTGAAGTCGAAAAATCGAAACCTTAAAAAAACTAAAAAATTAAAAATCAAAAAATTAAAGAATTAAAGAACAGGAATATCGAAACCCTCGAAAGTCAAATAATGGGAAATCAAAACATTGATTAATTGAAAAATCGAAAAATTGACAGTTTATAAATATCAAATTTGAAAAATTGAAAAATCGAAAGATTAAGAAATCGAAATATTTGAAAAATTGAAATATGGAAGAGCAGAAATGAAAAATTGAGAAATCGAAAAAGTAAAAAGTCGACACATCAAAAAAACCAGAAGTCAAAAATGGAAAAGTCGAAGAACAAAAATATTGAAAAATTCCAAAACTGAAATATCGAAAAACTGAAAAATGAAAGAAAAACTGAAAAATGGAAAACCTGAAATATCCAAAAACTGAGAGCCTAAAAGTCGTAAAAATGAGTAATCGAAAAATCGAAAAAGTGAAGTCGAAAAATCGAAACCTTAAAAAACTAAAAAATGAAAAATCAAAAACCTGAAAAATCGAAAAATTAAAAAATTGAAGAACAGGAATATCGAATCCCTCGAAAGTCAAGAAATGGGAAAGTCAAAACATCGATTAATTGAAAAATTGAAAAAACGAAAAAGTAAAAAAATCGACACATCGAAAAATCCAGGAGTCAAAAGTCGAAAAGTGGAAGAATCGAAATATTGGAAAATCCCATTGAAGAACAGAAAAATCGAAACACTCGAAGGTCAAGAAATGGGAAAATCAAATAATCGATTAATTGAAAAATCGAAAAATTGGGAGTTTATAAAAGTCAAATTTGAAAAATTAAAAAATCCAAAATTTGACAAAATAAAAATCGCAAAACAGAAAATCTAAAACCGGGAAGTCGAAAAATTAAAAGATTAAGAAAAACTGAAAATGGGAAACTAAATCGGGAAATCGAAACATTGAAAAGTCGAAAAATTTAAAACGACAATTGAAAACAGAAAATCTAAAACCAGGAAGTCGAAAAATCGAAAGATTAAGCAATCGAAAAAGTAAAAAAATCGACACATCGAAAACTCCAGAAGCCAAAAATCGAAAAGTCGAAGAATCGAAATATTGAAAAATGGAAAACCTGAAAAATCCAAAAACTGAGAATCTAAAAAGTCGAAAAATTGAGCAATCGAAAAATCCAAAAAGTGAAGTCGAAAAATCGAAACCTTAAAAAAACTAAAAAATTAAAAATCGAAAAATTAGAGAATTAAAGAACAGGAATATCGAAACCCTCGAAAGTCAAATAATAGGAAAATCAAAAATCGAAAAATTGACAGTTTATAGATGTCAAATTTGAAAAATTGAAAAATCGAAAGATTAAGAAATCGAAACATTTGAAAAATTGAAATATGGAAGAGCGGAAATGAAAAATTGAGAAATCTAAAATTTAAAAATCGAGAAAGTAAAAAGTCGCCATATCGAAAATCCAGAAGTCAAAAATGGAAAAGTCGAAGAACAGAAATATTGAAAAATCCCAAAACTGAAATATCGAAAAACCGAAAAATGAAAGAACAACTGAAAAATGCAAAACCTGAAAAATCCCAAACCTGAAATATCCAAAAACTGAGATCCTAAAAAGTCGTAAAAATGAGCAATCGAAAAAGTGAAGTCGAAAAATCGAAACTTTAAAAAACTAAAAAATCAAAAATCAAAAACCTGAAAAATCGAAAAATTAAAGAATTGAAGAACAGGAATATCGAAACCCTCGAAAGTCAAGAAATGGGAAAATCAAAACATCGATTAATTGAAAAATCGAAAAATTGAAAAATCGAAAATTTGAAAAAACGACAATTGAAAAACAGAAAATCTAAAACCGTGAAATCGAAAAATCGATAGATTAAGAAATCAAAATATTTGAAAAATTCGAAAACTTGAAAAACTGAAATATCGAAGAACTGAAATGAAAAATCAGAAAATCTAAAATTTTAAATATTGAAAAATTATAATACCAAAAAATAGAGAAATCTAAAATTTAAAAATCGAAAAATTAAAAAGTCGACACATCGAAAAATCCAGCATTGAAAAATCGAAATATCGAAGAACTGAAAATCGAAAAATGAAACATCAGAAAATCGAAAAAATGTAAAATTCAAAAATTTAAAAACCGAATAACTGAAAAATCGAAACAAAGAAAAACTGGAAAATCGAAAAACCGAGAAATCGAAAAATTAAAAAATTCAAGAAATCATGGAGTCGAAAAGTCGAACAATTGAGAAACGAAATAAACCAAAATCGAAAGTCGAAAAGTAAAAAATTGAACAATTCATAAATTGAGAAATTGACAATCAAAATATCGAAAACTCCAAATCCCGATAAATCGAGAAACCACAAAACTTAACAATTCGAAAAATTGAAAAATTGAGAGTTTAAAAGATCAAAAGAACGAGAAATCGAAAAGTAATGAAGTCGAAAAATCGAAAATTAGAGAAATCGACAAACAAAAAGTTAAAAGTTGAAAAATTGGGACAGCGGAAAAATCAAAAATCGAAAAAATGGAAAACTGGAAAAACTGAGACACCGAAAAAGCTGAAAAATCGAAAAATTAAAGAATTGAAGACAGGAATATCGAAACCCTCGAAAGTCAAGAACTGGGAAAATCAAAACATCGATTAATTGAGAAATCGAAAAATTGACAGTTTATAAATGTCAAATGTGAGAAATTGAAAAATCGAAAATTTGAAAAATCGACAACTGAAAAACAAAAAATCAAAAATTTTAAATATTGAAAAATTAAAATACCAAAAAATTGAGGAATCTAAAATTTAAAAATCGAAAAAGTAAAAAGTCGACACATCGAAAAATCCAGAAGTCAAAAATGGAAAAGTCGAAGAACAGAAATATTGAAAAATCCCAAAACTGAAATATCAAAAAACTGAAAAATCCAAAAACTGAAAATCTAAATCGAAAAATTGAGAAATCGAAAAATCAAAAAAGTGAAGGCGAAATATCGAAACCTTAAAAAAATCGAAAAATTGAAAAATCAAAAACCTGCAAAATCGTAAGAACGAAAAATTGAATAATAAGTAAACTGAAAAATCCCAAAACTGAGATGCCCAAAAACTGAGAAATTAAAAAATCGAAAAATTGAGAAATCGAAAAATCAAAAAAGTGAAGTTAAAAAATCGAAACTTGAAAAAATAGAAGAATTGAAAAACCCAAAAACCTGAAAAATCAATTAATTGAAAAATCGACAAATATAGAGTTTATAAAAGTCAAAAATTGAAAAATCGAAATATTTAAAAATCGTAAAATTGAAGAGAATACCTGAAAACCGAGAAATTGAAAAATTGAGAAATTGTAAAATCCAAAAATTGAATAATAGGAGTAAACTGAAAAGTCCCCAAACTAAAATTTTGAAAACTGAGAATTCGAAAGTTAAAACAGCAAGAAATTATGGACAGTAAATTTGAAGGACTGCTTTGTCATTGTATTATTGGTTGCGTTTTAAATTTTTTGGACGAAAAATTTCTCTTGAATAAAGGTCGATTTATAAACTTGTTGCTGCCGTTGCTGTTCTCGGTTACGGTGCCGTTGACGTTGGATTTTCAACCAATCAAACTGCGCTAGTGTGTACTGCCGCCAACCTGAAGGAAAATCCCCTAAAGTAAGGGGGACTTTTTTCTGGTCGACACCACTAATTCCACGAAAATCAAATTTTGATAGAGATAATGAGGTCCACTAATATTAAGCCATTTAATCACCTGTTCACCGAAACCCTTATATTTTAAATAACTACCATCATTTTCTACACTGTAGCTTTCTGTCGGTACTTAAGTGTCGTTAAAGATAGTTCTAGACGTTTATATTTTGCCCTTTTTTTTATATGTATAATCTTCTTTTCACAACAAGAAAGCTAAAACATGTTTAAAATGGTAAATTTGTATAGGGAAATATCGATTCTCCAATTAAACTCCGCCCCTCGGCTTACGACGAATAAAAAAATCATCAGAATTGAGATAGGGCGGGTGGGTGGGGCTTATATTTCCCGTTTTTTTTTTTAATATACATAGCCATCTTTTCACAACAAGAAACATAGTTTAGAACATGGTTAAAATGGTACACTTTTGAAAGAAAATATGGGTTTTGCAATTATGGGGCGGAGCATAATTGAAAAATCGATATTTCCTTATAAAAATTTTCCATTTTAATAATAATAATAATAATAATAGTATTTTATTAACGGAATCACCATTACACAACATGTAGGTACATAATTACATTTTTTATATCTGTATAAATACAGTCAACTACGTAACCATTTGCAACGTTTTTGAACAAGTAATCCCTAAAGATTATGAGATTAGTAATGGTAGATTTTCCTGCCATGAAACTATGTTGTTCCTTTAAAACAAGAGTATAACCAATCAGTAACAATAGAATCAAGTAATATAGATAAGGTAGGCAATATACTAATACCCCTATAATTGTTCACTTGACTTTTACTTCCGCATTTGTGAATCGGTAATACATCGAAAATTTTCCAGGCTTTAGGAGAAATACCTTATGACTTATTGAAGATAATTTGTAGGGATAAAGTATATACTATAAATTATTTTTAACTCCTAGTCTGCAAGCCTGTTTTGGGCGTAGTTTCTAACCGTTAGTCCAAATAGCCGAAAATTTGGTATCAGCAGTTCTGTTGAAGAGAAGTAGACGACAACCAAATTAGGATGCGGTTCCAACATTTTTAAGTGCCAGTCTGCAAGATAACAATAAGTCATATTTTCGCAGAAACGTTTTTTGTTTAAAGTTTTAGATCTTTAAAATTAATAAACAATCAATGACACTAACAATTTCTGCAAGCGTGGTAAAATTTACGTTTTACTGAATCTGCTGATAAATCATAAATTGGATTCGTTCTGCATTTGCGTGTGTTCAGTTAAAAACATGAATGTGTCACACACTTTGCCACTCGTGCTAAGTTTTCTTTTAAATTTAGTGAGTGCTATGATTTCAGGTAATATTTTTCTTGAAAAAAATGATGCTGAAAAAAAAATTATTAAAAACGCCACCTTTTCTTACTTTATTTATTTAATAATCTATTTTGTTGTAGATGATGACTACAAACTAATGCCTCCGATTTTTCACATAGATTCTTATGAAGATTGCTTGCAAAAAAACAAACACTTCTGTAGAGCTTCGTTAAAATTATATCCGTCAAAAACCACCCATTCGACAAAAGTTTGGAATTTAATACAGGTAAAAGAAAAACAATATCGAATTATTAACATTTTTAGAACGATGTCTTTTATGATTTATACATTTTAGGAAACCAAAAGGTTCAAAACTTATTACAATCATGACGAATTGTACCACGCAATTTGTATTAACGATAGTCTGGTTAACAAAAATAGCACAAGTTCTTTGAAAACAGCTGTAACAAAAATGTACGCTCAAAAATATGAGGATAGAGGACTAACCACAGAAGTCGTAACAATCGAATGTGAAAATCTTGTGTATCGTACGAATACATTTGATATCTCGCTATTGTAAATCTAAACAACAATTTTGTTACGTTTTAAGTAATAAGTGTTTTTTCAGGTGTTTCATTGTGATATATCTAATATTGATAATACTTGCAACTGCTTATCACATTAAAACAAACGATGTCCAGAAGATAAGTAGATGCATTATAGTTTTTTCGATTTATTACAATCTGACTAAACTTTATAAAATGTATCGGCACGACAATTTTCAAAAATTACACTGCATTCAATCGATACGTTTTTTCACGACGGTTTTAGTTATATTTTGCCACACTTTTTGCAGCTTTGCTGGTGGTTACATTGCTAACACAAAATATTTGGAAGATGTAAGTTAATGACAAATTTCTGACAAATCATGTTTTATAATTTAATTTTAGATACCTTCAAACGTTATTAGACATAGTATACGAATCTTATTTGTCTTTTTGGTACAAACCTTTTTTTTAATATCGGCGTGGCTTTTGTCCTATAACACATTCACAATTTTCAAAAACACCAAAAATATAAATGTTGTTAAATATACTTTCGTGACTATAGTTAACAGATATTTAAGGTAAAGATACAATGAATTTTTGATTACTGATTATTATTGAATAAAAATTACAGAATAATCCCACCTGTATTGTTAATGGTATGTTTGGGGAGAAGTGTATGGATTTATGGTACGTTTTCTGGACCCGTTAAGAACGTCTATTCTGATAAGGAATATCAGCGTTGTCAGAAAAACTGGTGGATTGTTCTTTTATTTCTCAGTAACCACTATCAACAACACGAAATGGTAAATAAATTTGACTAAAGAAACATTGTTCTTATGTAGCTAACTTTCAGTGTTATTTTACCGCCTGGTATTTGTCTGCAGACACCCAACTTTATGTCTTATCGCTACTATTTTTAACACTTATGTTGAAATTTAAGCAACTAAAAATTTTTTTAATGATACTTTGTTTATTACTGGGTATTATTATTCCGTCTGTTGTGTCATATTTATATAATCTTGATACAATATACAGGATTAATCCAGAGTGAGTATAATTTTTGTACAGTAATTAGTTATTTGGTTATATATTTTCAGAAACGCGAAAAATAACGGTTTTCTTTCGTTTGAATTTAGTGCCACCTATACTTCAACATACTCAAACATGGCTACATATACGCTAGGTTTGATTTTTGGATATGTTTACTTTCGCGTAGAAAATAAAGTTGTATTTAAAAAAAATGTAAGTATCTTGCAAAAATTATATAAAATGTGCAGTTATAGTTTTCAGATTTACGTTCTAGTTTGTTGGACTCTGGCCACTGGATTACCTTTATTAATAGTTATGATTCCCGCCTTCGAATATGGTAAAATTACGTCGACAATTTTGGCGGGAATCTTAAAACCGTTGTACGCCTTCGGGATTGGGTTAGGCATTTTCGGAATGTTAAAAGACACCGGCGGATGGTTAAAGAAGTTATGTTCATGGAAACCGTTTGTGTTTTTTGGAAATTTTACCTATACTACGTATGTGGTACATTTTGGGATAGTGTTCTATAGAACCGCCTCGACTAGAACACCCATATACATATCTGACTATAATTTGGTAAATATATAAAACAATAACGTTCCACTCAAAGTATTAACACTTATTTTCTAGTTCGTTGCGTTTCTTCAGGATGTAGGACTATCATTCATATGTGGTTTCATTGTTCACCTATTACTAGAGATGCCTCTGTCACAACTCCAGCACATTTTCGTTTTTAAATTCAGTGTTCATAAGGCAAAACATTACAAAAAACGTGAAACCACATAAAAATAAAAATGCAAATATGTAGTACTTAAGACTAAAATTTATTTTCTGACTCTTTCTTACTGTGGAACTAAGCAAATGATAAACGATAAGCTGGCGAAATATATGGCGCATGTTTCTTAAGTGGCACTATCACAGACATATTAGTTTGTCTCTTTCTTTTAAACATACATTATTTACATTACAATGTTGACAAGGATATTCTGATCACCAAAAACCACATTATCGACAATTCTGTATGTTCAGTTTAGATTGGAGTGTTTAACAATTGTTGTGGGTGACAGGGGATTCCTCATGACCTTCGACATTTTCAAAAATTGTCAATGGAGAAACCGCAGGTGATCTTAACCTTGGACAATACCGTGATAGTGCACAATGGCAACATCGGTACGACCTCGACGGTTTCCAACAACGGTAGGAAATAGTTTTAACGCAAAAGTATATATTTTTTTATTCGATACCTTCGTGTTCACTGGTAAATTGATTTATCAATCAATAAACAAAAGACTTGTGAACGGTTTTATTTCATAATGTTAACTCTGGGAGATTTCATGTTGTATAAATTTATACGTATCCACTGCGTCTAATGATAGCATTGGATTTATCTTAAAAGGTTACTATTTATTTGGTGATAAAAAGGTCACGATAAGTTTATCAAAATTTTCAGTGTTTTCTGTAAAATACACGGTTCTGTGAATCTTTCCACAGTTAATTTGAAATCAAAGGAATCGAATCAAACCGACTATTGAAATAGATGCAGACGCTAGTATTCTAGATGTGTTAGCACTACTAAATGCAAATTTTTGAAAATTTCTAAAAATTTCAATATTTCAACGGTCGATTCCGGAAAAACGGTTGCATTTATCAAAGAAACGAGGCCGGAATTGAGTTCTAGAGCTCAAAATTTACAAGAAAATATGTTTAGTTAAGTTTCGAAAATGTCAAAAATTTACCAAAATTTGAAGAATTTCACTTTTAAAAAAGTTGTCTAAAAATTCTAAAAAAATTCAGGGACGTGGATCTCGACATGCTGATTCCAAAAATATAGCACGTTGATGGTCACGGAGCAACATTTTCGAAAAAATCGGTACGAAATGCGAATTTTTGAAAATTTATAAAAATTTCGATATTTCAACGGTCGATTCCGGAAAAACGGATGCAGGTATCAAAGAAACGAGGGCAGAATTGAGTTCTAGAGCTCAAAATCTACAAGAAAATGTGTTTAGTTAAGTTTCGAAAATGTCAAAATTTGACCAAAATTTGAAGAAGGGGGGACCATTGGAAAAATTTCACTTTTAAAAAAGTTGTCTAAAAATTGTGAAAAAATTCAGGGACGTGGATATCGACATGCTGATTCCAAAAATGTAGCATGTTGATGGTCAAAGAGCAGCATTTTTGAAGAATCGGTACGAAATGCGAATTTTTGAAAATTCCGTGATTTCAACGGTCGCTTTCGGAAAAACGGTTGCAGTTATCAAAGAAACGAGGCCGGAAGTGAGTTCAAGACACCGAAATCCACAAGAAGATGTGTTTAGTTAAGTTTCGAAAATGTCAAAATTTCCCAAAATTTGAAGAAGGGGGGAACATTGGAAAAATTTCACTTTTAAAAAAGTTGTCTAAAAATTGTGAAAAAATTCAAGGACGTGGAGATCGACATGCTGATTCCAAAAATATAGCATGTTGATGGTCACGGAGCAACATTTTCGAAAAAATCGGTACGAAATGCGAATTTTTGAAAATTTCTAAAAATTTCGATATTCGAATAGTCGATTCCGGAAAAACGGTTGCAGTTATCAAAGAAACGAGGCCAGAAGTGAGTTCTAGAGCTCGAAATCCACAAGAAAATGTGTTTAGTTGAGTTTCGAAAACGTCAAAAATTTACCAAAATTTGAAGAAGGGGGGACCATTGGAAAAATTTCACTTTTAAAAAAGTTGTCTAAAAATTGTGAAAAAATTCAGAGACGTAGATATCGACATTGTTTTGCGCGAAATAAAAATCACCTTTTAATTACACGGTTTATTTAATCGCACAAAAATTATAAATTGCCGGTCTCTCGGGTCGGCACGTCTTTACCCTCTCGATACTTCTCGACGACTCCCCGAGAGCATGAAATAATAAAAATTAGGTAAACTACCCTAAAACGGGTGGGAGTAGGGTGGACAAATTGGCTACGCCCAAACCCCTGTTCAGGTAAACTGAACATAGTCCCCCCGTTGAAGTACTAACTTCAAGGATGACCTACTTATTGTGATAAATAGTACATAATAATAAAGAAACAAAAAATGCCTAATTAAATGAATACATGTCAACTAAGATCATACAACAGGAATTAAAATGAAATTAACAAGAGTACAATAATAAAATGAAATATATATACACATGTATAGCCCAATTGCGCATTAAATTGGTAACGGGCTCAATTTCCGCACTGATCTTTGCACTATCCCGTTTCTGGTTCGCACTGACACAGTCCTTATTTCACCATCGCGACCTGGATGTACGATTTCAACCCGACCGAGACACCAACACAACGGGGGCACGTTATCCTCGTGCACGATGACGATGTCGCCCACATCAGGTTCGGCAAGTGACGTAAGTGCAGTACCGATCAAAAAATGGCCAGGGGTGAGTACGGACAGATCGTCGGGATTTGAGGATAATGGGAGTTATAGGTTGAGAGTTAAGACACGCCTCGATCAATGTCAAATAGGTATACATTCCCTCATATGTGAACAATGACTGCCCTATAACTCGTTTTACATGATATTTAATGGTCTTAATACCTGCTTCCCAAATTACACCAACGTGTGGTGAGCGAGGTGGGATAAAATGCATCAGATTTAATAACACCCAAATGTGTGACTCGTAATTCGCGAGTGACTCCCTTAAAATTTGATGCGTTAGCGGAGTAAATATTTGAAGGTTTCCCTCTTCGAGACATAAATCTTTTGAAGGCTCCAATAAAGGCTGACGAAGTACAGTCGGTGACTATTTCTAGGTGAATTGCCTTGGTGGCAAAACAAATACACAAACAAATATAAGCCTTTATAGACCTTTTTCCACGACCCCTCCCTTCTCGAATTAGAATTGGGCCGGCGTAATCGACCGCACAATTAAGGAATGGTCGTACTAGATTTACTCTACCTTCGGGTAAATTTCCCATTATTTCTTCATAGGGAATCGGTTTCGAACGTCTGTAAAGTACACATTCGTGGAGAATTTTTATAATTATTTCACATCCGCCGATATGCCAATGTGTTTGTCTAATAACTGCTAAAGTCGCTTGCGGTCCAGCATGTAACTGACGCAAGTGTGTCTGTAGTACAATTAATTTTGTAATATGGTGTAATTTTGGAATAACCAAAGGAAATTTTTTATCAAACAAAATATTTGCATTGACGAGTCTACCACCCACTCGTATTAATAAATTATCGTCTAGAAAGGGATTTAATTTGATTAAAGGACTAGATTTTGGTAAGGCATTACCTTTTATGAGACACTTGAATTCCTCAGGAAATGATTCCTGTTGGACTATTTTAATAATAACGTTAAGACTGTTATCAATTTTCTTTACAGTTAGTACGCCATTTACACTTTGTCTATATCTGACTCTGTTGTAAAATCGTAAACAAAAGGCTACTACGTTAATTAATTTTGAAAATGATGAGTACCTTAATAATAAATCTGATGGTGATTGACCTTTATTGTGTACTACTGCATTTGAATAGACGGCCTGACGTCGTTCTTCAATTTCGAAAATAATATTAGTTAGTACCTTAAGATCATTAGAATGTGTGACATTTTCACGTAATAAAATTGGATATAAATAAGAATGGATTTTTGAACCAACTAATAACTCGTCATTTAGGCTTTTCTGATTATATGATCTAAATGATGCATCAAACACAATACGTAATTGTGGCGTGGTACTTTCTTTAAGAACACCGTGGTGTGGTAAATAATAACTACGCGGATTATCAATTTCGTCTTCAGGAACTTGTTCCGCATGACCTGGTTGTAAATAGTTTGTAATTACTGCCGAAAAGGATAATTTAAAATTCTCGTCCTTTCGGAATTTGCATTCTAAAGATTTAAAAAGTTTTATGGCCCCTTCCTAAGATGTACCTAAGTTTGGGTTTTCCGCCTTGAACGGAAGTAGTACCGAATACCTTCCCATTTCTAAGCGTTTATGACCCTTCATAAATTTCTTTTCGCATAGGATTTCGTCGGCCGATTGAGGTTTTGCGGAAGTTTTAAATTCATCTAATTGCCAAAACTTTCCAACCATCTATTCTAGGACGGGTTGGACATAATAACAAGAACCCTGTTTTACAACCCCCGGATTATCTCCGTGAGCATTAACCACTGCCCAACCGAATTTAGTTTCCTGTAGAATAAAGTCCTTATTCAAACATCTCCGATTAGGCTGTAAAATTTCGAAGAAGGTTTGAGCACCTAGCAATAAATCTCTCGTCCCTTTGACATGAAATGCGGGATCTGCTGATTTGTTGTGGTGCGGAAATTCTAAATTAGCGATTGAAAATGACGTGGATGGTAAAAATTCCGAGATTTGTGGTAAAATAACACATGAAAGGTTTAAATGATAATGTTGGTAATTAGGAATAATTTTGATACTTGCTAATTGTGAGGCACTAGTATTACAACGGTTGACACCAGCGATTGACAAAACGTTCGGTTGTGATTTAAGATTTAATAATTTTCGCTCTGAAATAAAATTTAATTCGGAGCCGGTATCTAACAGTGGCCGCACTTGATGTTTATTTCCAAATTTACCATAAATTTGTACTTGGGCTGTTGGAAGTACTTTACTAAAATAAACTTGTTGAGAATTTGCCTTAAGAACGATGGATTGATCTGATTCAACTTGATTATTGTCACTACTAGTACTTGGTATTTCGTTCGGCTCGGGATTGTCTACATGCAACAACGTATTATGATGTCCTTTACAAATTTTACAGACATACGATGATTTACATTCCGCAACTTTATGACTGTTCTGAAAACA